TGAGGCAGTTCACAGAAGAGTGAAAAAAAATTACTTACTTGTTTACATACTCAGTTTTGAGGTTTGAGAATATCACCAGACTCTGCAAAACATGTATTTAGGTTGTGTGACAAATTTTTATTACCGGAATTAAGAGCGGAAGTTCATATGCGCACGGACTTTTTGACTGGAAAATCATGAACCCGTTATATAATGCTGCTTCTAAACATTTCAAACTAACGAGTATTTTTAGTTTCAATATCAATTTTTACATTTTATACCCTCAGCTATACTCTACGGCAATAAACCACGTAAACCATCTTCAAGAAGATCTAGCCTCTGAATAAATTTCAAAACTGTCAAAGATGAAACACAGCGTTGTTTTTAGTTTTAGTTTGCCTGAACGTTCATCTTCTGACCTCCTTTGGAGAACGGAAACGCACCAAACTTTCATCGTGATCAATGTCCACTCCAAAGGTTCATGAGAGGGAGCCCAGAAGTTGATACACAACAAAATAGTTCCATGCAACGGCAGAACATACTGTTTGGAAAAAGTCTACAAGTAGGAAATTTCATGCGTCACGGAAAATTCGGTGAAAAAAAGTAGAACTGAAGAATTTTACACAATAACAACGTACCCAACCCCAACATTCTTGAAAATTATGACGAACTAAGCCCTTCAGAAGGGGAAATTGTATATTTGTTTCGTTTTAATGGAAAAAAGGCCCAGTTTTACGAGGCGTTCCTGTAAAGAACGGTACGTGTAAAGTGTATTAGATTGTCCAGTTGGGGAATATATTAAGACGTCACCCGCGAGTGTCACGCGACCCGCTCGCTGACGCGTTAATTTCAAGGTGCGGTCAAAGACAGTAGGACAGTGTTGGTTAGATGTAATTCTTTTAAAGAAGAATGATAGCTTTTTAATTTCTGCTAGTCGCCGCACCCTGCGATAAAATAAAGTACTAATTCCAGCTAAATTCCGCTTGAAAAGCGCAACTTTAGTACGGGATTAGTTAATAACACGTACGGTCCCCATTAGGGACCTTACAAAACCACGATGACTACGGCAACGGGAACGTCAAAAAAACAACAGGTTTCATGAGCAAAACAACTCTGCACGCCCCTCTGCCCCGCGAAGGGGTACTTTAGGGCTTTTTGGGTGGGGATTTGCCGCTGGGACCCTGGAGCCCTATACTATGCTACCCTATACTAGACTAAACTCGCCAAATCCCCCCTATCCTATAGTAGCTGTTTTCCAGAAACAACTGAGGTCACTAGAAAAGTCCAGCCAAAACAAAACTGATTTGATTTTTTTATATTCTTGAGTGGCAATTCCCAGTTTCCCTAGTCTAGACTAAAATCTTCAGCCTTGATCAGTTTAAATGGAAAAAGATGGCCTCTTCTAGACCCAAACTCTCTCATTTATATACCCTATCCCAGAGTAAACTGCTTGAGAACCATACCCTTCACAGCGGCACATGTCTATATAGCCCATGTATGGCAGTATCTCAAATATGTCAAATTCCCTACCCACAGCGCTTCACTGAGTCTAATTCCGTGGGTTGCCCCCACCCCCCTATCCTGGGGCAAACCATTGATAGGTGCATAATACATTAGAAATATTTTTTTCTTCAATATCTGAGCAAAACAGTCCGAATATCGGTCAAAAATATAAAGCAATTTTCTACGAATTTTTGACGCTGTCAGATTATGCAAACGAAGTAAGAGTAATTAGCATAATGAAAGAGAGGCTTGAGCGTAACCTCGTCACCCGATATTTACTTTCCAAAAACGCTTTATTTTTCAATTTCTACGAGAAATATGGAGTTAGAAACAAGCAAACATGAATTCACTGATAGAAGTCATCAAAATAAGCAAGGCTTTAAAGGCAACAAGCTTAAAGGGACGGAATTCACTACGTTTGAAGAGAATTTTTGTGCCAGCCATTGCCGACTCGGGGAATAGAAGGCAAAGATTCTTACTTTTTCTTACCTCGATTTTCGCGTTTGTTTGCATGTTATGCTACAGAATCCTTCAAAATGATTTGCTTGACTTGTATTTGGTTTCAATTCGTCGATTCACGCTTTCATTCTTCGCAAAAGCCGTCCGACGGGCATTTTTCGTTACGTGAAGCTCAAAACACGATGGGGGCTGGAACTAGGCACATAATTGGCTAAATCTATTAACTTCGTGTGGGCCAAATTTGGAGGGAATCGAAGTGACGTAATTTTTTTTGCGGGTGGAGGGTGAGGGGTAGCGGGTGACGCGTAAGTAGATAAAACAAAACAAGACAATACTTTTTATTTGAGTCTGGTAGCTAGTACATAAACGTTGAAATTATTTTAAAATTACAACATACAGTTATATCATTATCAATAATAATATTTTATTATAATATTTTATTTTCATATATATTTTTAACCCGCCACCCGCCACCCGCCACCCGCCACCCGTCACCCGCTACCCCTCACCCGCCACCCGCTACCCGTCACCCGCCACCCGCCACCCGCCACCCGCGGAAAAGTCCAGCCGTAAGATTGTTGCCGACGGGGACGCCATTTTGCTTCCAGAATATTTTGGCCATTTTGGTTTATTCCACAGCATGTTAAACATTTCATATCGTGGATTAGGAAGCGTTTTTTTCTTACATCTTGGGTATTGGGGGCGTCAAAACATGACGTAAGTTTTAAGCTTATATGGCAGCTTAATTCGTCATCTAGCTGATGTCGTAGTAAAAAATTTTCTTTTCCTCTAACTCTGTTGCTTGATTTGTTCAGCTTGTTATCTTATGTTTTGTGTGTAAAAATACGCGTTAAAATGAGTTTTAAGCATGCAAGAGATGCCTTGGTTCTATGTCATGACAACGGAGTGATAGGCGACGAGGAATTTTGCTTGCTATACGATGCAAATCGATCGAAAAATCCCGAATTTCCGTACGAAGAGTATGGAAAATTTGATCTTGAAGATATGGGGGACGATGAATGTAAAGCGGAATTTCGCTTCCATACAGAAGACATCCCGGTGCTGGCAGAAGTCCTTGGTTTACCCGAAACTTTCACCTGCAGCCAGGGATCCGTGACTAATGGCATTGAAGGGCTATGCATTATGCTGAAAAGATTTAGCTACCCCTGCAGGTACTCGGGTTTAATTCCCCGTTTTGGTCACGCTGTTCCTGTGATGAGCATGATCTGTAACACAGTAGTTGACTTCGTTTACAACCTCCATGGCCATAGAATAACTGAGTACAATCACAACCTTCTTGATTCGGCTAGCCTTCAAGTCTATGCAGATGCAGTTTTTGCAAAAGGTGCCGCCCTGGATAATTGTTTTGGTTTTGTGGATGGCACGGTCAGGCCCATTTGTCGCCCTGGGGAAATGCAAAGAGCTGTATACAATGGACACAAACGTGTACATGGACTAAAATTTCAGTCAGTTGCTCTACCAAATGGACTCATCGCAAATCTTTTTGGACCTGTAGGTTAGTGCATTATTCATTTCGGCTAATACCAAGGCAATGGGAAGGTATAAACATGAGGCATATGATTTCTTTAAATCCCTTGGCCACTTGTAGTGTTGGCTTTTTTCTTCAGACTGAACTCAAATGATTCTATTCATGTGACCTCTGTCACGAATTGTCAGAGTTCACATGCATTGCAGTACGTTATGACATAGACACATTTGTTTTGTAACTTACCGTACCTGTGAACAGATGTATATAGGGAGACAACATAAAAATTATATGTTAATTTATTAGTAGGTATTTGTACATAAATGAGTTGAGCCTCAAATAAGCACACATATCTATCAAGGTCAAAAGGGTTTTGGTTTTACATAGTATTACTGTAACTGGTTTGAAGGAAGTATTAAATTTCAAGATTGTAAGCTCAACATCAACAATATTCCAAAACTCCACTATATCTCTTTTACAGAAGGGAGAAAACATGATGCATCAATGCTGGATGAGTCTGGTCTGTTGAATGAGCTCGAGAGGCATGCATTTTCACCAACTGGCCAGGCAATGTGTATTTATGGTGATCCAGCATATCCCCACCGTGTTCATCTGCAAAGACCATTTCAGTATGGAGGACTGACACATCAGATGCAAAGTTTCAATGAGTCCATGAGTAAAGTTCGTTCCATAGTCGAGTGGATTTTTGGGGACATGAGTAACTATTTTAAATTTTTAGATTTTAAGAAAGACTTGAAGCTGGATTTAAGCCCCATTGGGAAAATGTACATTGTCTGTGCCTTACTTAGGAATGCACTTACTTGCCTTTATGGTAACACAACCTCTGAGTTTTTCCAGTTAGACCCTCCATCTCTGGAAGATTACTTTGCTTAAGTGTCATTCATACTTGAGGGCATAGCTGAATGTTTTTGGTTTGTAGGCTTGTTTTAACAGAAAATCTCCACAAGGAATTATAGATTATACACATAAGAAATATTACAGGAAACCAAGGGTTCTTGACAAAACTTTTAATGACAGCTGTCGCCCTTAAGTCTGCATCAATTTCTTTCTTAGTATGATGAGCAGTGCTTCACAGATTTCAAAATGCCTTTTGTGTCTAGGATTTTGACACCAAAAAAATATCCATACTCTGTCCATGGAAGGGGTACAATGTCACCCCCACCCTCTGAATTTCCAAATGTAAGCAGTGATTCGTATGGAAAACAAGGTCTTTTTCCCCCACCCCCAATATTATGCTATATGCTAAAACTGAAGAACAAACCTATGAAAATGAAGTAATCATTTATTTACTACAATCCAAGATAAAAAAGTATATACAGTGTAATATGCTATGCTGTTGTTTTTGTTAGAACAAGTGTAACACTTTTTTCAACATGTTTTCAAGTTTAGCAATTCTAAATGCTCTTTTTGAAATACAATATTTGAGAAAATGGTTGACACTGAAAACATTTAAAACACACTGTAAGTATCAATAGAACAACAAGAAGGCAAGGTTCAATATCATTGTCATGCACTTGCACACTCATATGAAATCTGCTCAAGCAGTTCTTGTTCACTTCTCCAAAAATTTAGAAAACATGGTTATCATCATGGTCTGGAATCCATCAGTTTGCTTCTGTTGCTGTGCCAGCTGCTGGCTCATCAACTTCATCATAGCTTCATTCTTCTTGGCTTCTTGCTGCAACTCCTGCTTTTTCAGCTCCAGCTCCTCTTTTTTAAATTCATCCAACATTTCATTTCTCTCCTTTAGATACTCCAGGGTGTTGTTTCCACTTGATCTTCTTTTCTTCCCCTTTCCTTCAATCTCACTTCTTTTCATTCTGTCTCCCAGCCTCTCCATTGCCCTCTTTCTCACTTCCTCAGCATCTTTCTTATCTTCCTTTACCTTCCTCTTTTGTGCTGCTGTCTCCTGTTGGTCTCGATCAGCCTCATCTTCTCTCTCACAATGAGGTCTTCCAGGGCTTGCTCTACCTCTGTCAATTCTGGGGTGCTAATCCCACTTGCTCTTTCCTCCCCTCTAATTTTCCTCCTGTATGCTTTGGCAAGTAGACCATACCTTTCTCTAACACCTCTCTGGTCAACCTTAAATTTGGGGGCTTCTGCTTGCAAAAGGCGCTCAGAGATTTCGTTCCACTTCCGACCTCTTTGAACTGTCCCACGTTTTGTGCCAGCAAAGGGGCTGTTCGCTAGCATTTCTCTGACTAAAATGACATCATGTTCCTCTGTCCAGAACATCCTGTCATAAGAAATGTGGCATAGTAAATAAACTATCAATGACAGTAGTTAAAGAAACAACACACAATCTACAAAAACTCTATCATATTAATAGAGGAAAACAAAGAAACGCCTTACGATGAAAGGTAAACCCCACTGGTAGTAAGAAACAAATATAATGCTAAGAAATAAATATAATGTGTGAACTGTGTAGGAAGTTAAAAAACACATGCATGATGTGTAATTTTAGCATATTCAAGTGTGAGGAACAGTAAGGGAAGAGACAAAGAGCTATTGAGCTACGAAAAAAAATGCCGAAGAGGCTGGTTGTATACAAGAAAATATTTAATACAAAAATATTGGCACTAGTAAGTGCAGTTGTTCAATAGAAAACCGACAAGAAAAATTTCGGTCCCGAAATGTTTTCCGGAGTTTTGATAAACGCACGCCACTGGAGAGGAAAACGAAAGGTTTGACTAATGCCGGGTTGAGACAGCTATTCAGCAATTCAAGTCAAAACTCCACAGAAACAAAACAGAAGTAGTCTTATTTCTATAAAGGGAGGAAAAACACTCTTGGGAAGTTTGTCGCTTGGAGTTGTTTTTCTCTTTCACGCGGAATACACGAAAAATATAAACTTCGTACGACAGTCGCAAGTAGAAACTCAATAAAAAAGAATGACTCTGAAAGTGGTATTCATATAAGCATTAAACAATGGGTGGATATTAAATGGAATGGCCCACTACTCCGCGGTAGAGTGGTTACGCTACAAATTATGGTTTCTACGCCCCTGGATCGGTTCTCAATCTTAATTGCCACATCGAATTTTTCTTCTTTTCAAAATTTGCCACTGAAATTCTTCCTTAAAAATGGAACAGTGGTTGAAGAGACTTACACTTTCATGGAAATTTGTTGATCAGAAATTTCAAGAGACTTAGAAATTTCATATAAATTTCAAGTAGAGACTTGATCCTGTATGTCATAGCAGATACACGTCGGTGTAAGGGTCCTGTATGAATAGGGGCACTGTGTCAATGTAATGAAGACACTGCATGTTGTTAATAACAGTGATCTTCTCATATTTTAAATGCAACTCTGATTTTAAAAGATAAATGGCAGACAGCCCTACTAAAAAATAATTTTCTATATTTATTTTTTTTTTAACAGGATCATTTTTTTATTAAGCACACAAAACATTCCTCTTTATAGTTAGCAATAAAATTTCTTACACTCGGACTTTCAGCGTTGGTGAACATTTTGCATACTTTTGCATTATCTGTGTAATTTAAACGTACTATCTATTTTGCTTTTAGAAAGCTTTCAAATGTTTCCTATTTTTCTATCCAATAAAAAGTGCAGACTTGAACATGTGGCTAACAAGTTGATGAGTTGCTTGATTACTGAATTTCTATGGGCACGCTATGGCATTCCATGGAACTCCATGGGCACGCTAGGCATTCCATGGAACTGCATCGGTACTTCAGGGAACCCCATGGCATTCCATGGAACTCCACGATATTCCATGGAATTTCATGGCATTCCATGGAACTCCATCACTACTTCATGGAACTCCGTGGAACTCCTTGGCATTCCATGGAACTCCATGGATACTCCACGAAACTCCATGGCATTCCATGGAACTCCATGGATACTCCATGGAAGTTCCTTGGAATTCCATGGATTTCCATCTATTTCCATGGAATTCCATGGATTTCCATAGATTTCCATGGATTTCCACGGATTTCCATGGATTTCCATGGAATTCCATGGGAGTATTTCACACGGGTCCCCACATAGGATTTCTTTGTTATTCAAACATAGACCAGATTTTGTTATATGGAAGATGGTTGGAAAGTAAGGATGAATATATGTAGCGCTTTATGAAGTTTTGTTAACTTTTGCTGTTTAAGCCAATCAGAAGTAAGTACAGACAATAGAAAAGTTAGCACCTTTTTTTTGCATTCCAACATGTTCGTTGCCGTTGTTGCCATCTGGACCGTTTCTTAAACTACTTGCAAGAAAAAGTATGAAATTACATGTATTGAAAGTATGATAAGTGTATTGGGTTAAATACAGAAATCTTACTGAGGCAGTTCACAGAAGAGTGAAAAAATTACTTACTTGTTTACATACTCAGTTTTGAGGTTTGAGAATATCACCAGACGCTGCAAAACATGTATTTAGGTTGCGTGACTAATTTTTATTTCCGGAATTAAGAGGGGAAGTTCATATGCGCACGGACTTTTTGTGACTGGAAAATCATGAACCCTTTATATAATGCTGCTGCCAAACATTTCAACCTAACGAGTATTTTTTAGTTTCAATATCAATTTTTACATTTTATACCCTCAGCTATATTCTACGGCAATAAACCACATAAACCATCTTCAAGAAGATCTAGCCTCTGAATAAATTTCAAAACTGTCAAAGATGAAACACAACGTTGTTTTTAGTTTTAGTTTGTCTGAACGTTCATCTTCTGACCTCCTTTGGAGAACGGAAACGCACCAAACTTTCATCGTGATCAATGTCCACTCCACAGGTTCATGAGAGGGAGCCCAGAAGTTGATACACAACAAAATAGTTCCATGCAACGGCAGAACATACTGTTTGGAAAAAGTCTACAAGTAGGAAATTTCATGCGTCACGGAAAATTCGGTGAAAAAAAAAAGTAGAACTGAAGAATTTTACACAATAACAACGTACCCAACCCCAACATTCTTGAAAATTATGACGAACTAAGCCCTTCAGAAGGGGAAATTGTATATTTGTTTCGTTTTAATGGAAAAAAAGGCCCAGTTTTACGAGGCGTTCCTGTAAAGAACGGTACGTGTAAAGTGTATTAGATTGTCCAGTTGGGGAATATATTAAGACGTCACCCGCGAGTGTCACGCGACCCGCTCGCTGACGCGTTAATTTCAAGGTGCGGTCAAAGACAGTAGGACAGTGTTGGTTAGATGTAATTCTTTTTAAAGAAGAATGATAGCTTTTTAATTTCTGCTAGTCGCCGCACCCTGCGATAAAATAAAGTACTAATTCCAGCTAAATTCCGCTTGAAAAGCGCAACTTTAGTACGGGATTAGTTAATAACACGTACGGTCCCCATTAGGGACCTTACAAAACCACGATGACTACGGCAACGGGAACGTCAAAAAACAACAGGTTTCATGAGCAAAACAACTCTGCACGCCCCTCTGCCCCGCGAAGGGGTACTTTAGGGCTTTTTGGGTGGGGATTTGCCGCTGGGACCCTGGAGCCCTATACTATGCTACCCTATACTAGACTAAACTCGCCAAATCCCCCCTATCCTATAGTAGCTGTTTTCCAGAAACAACTGAGGTCACTAGAAAAGTCCAGCCAAAACAAAACTGATTTGATTTTTTTATATTCTTGAGTGGCAATTCCCAGTTTCCCTAGTCTAGACTAAAATCTTCAGCCTTGATCAGTTTAAATGGAAAAAGATGGCCTCTTCTAGACCCAAACTCTCTCATTTATATACCCTATCCCAGAGTAAACTGCTTGAGAACCATACCCTTCACAGCGGCACATGTCTATATAGCCCATGTATGGCAGTATCTCAAATATGTCAAATTCCCTACCCACAGCGCTTCACTGAGTCTAATTCCGTGGGTTGCCCCCACCCCCCTATCCTGGGGCAAACCATTGATAGGTGCATAATACATTAGAAATATTTTTTTCTTCAATATCTGAGCAAAACAGTCCGAATATCGGTCAAAAATATAAAGCAATTTTCTACGAATTTTTGTGACGCTGTCAGATTATGCAAACGAAGTAAGAGTAATTAGCATAATGAAAGAGAGGCTTGAGCGTAACCTCGTCACCCGATATTTACTTTCCAAAAACGCTTTATTTTTCAATTTCTACGAGAAATATGGAGTTAGAAACAAGCAAACATGAATTCACTGATAGAAGTCATCAAAATAAGCAAGGCTTTAAAGGCAACAAGCTTAAAGGGACGGAATTCACTACGTTTGAAGAGAATTTTTGTGCCAGCCATTGCCGACTCGGGGAATAGAAGGCAAAGATTCTTACTTTTTCTTACCTCGATTTTCGCGTTTGTTTGCATGTTATGCTACAGAATCCTTCAAAATGATTTGCTTGACTTGTATTTGGTTTCAATTCGTCGATTCACGCTTTCATTCTTCGCAAAAGCCGTCCGACGGGCATTTTTCGTTACGTGAAGCTCAAAACACGATGGGGGCTGGAACTAGGCACATAATTGGCTAAATCTATTAACTTCGTGTGGGCCAAATTTGGAGGGAATCGGAAGTGACGTAATTTTTTGCGGGTGGAGGGTGAGGGGTAGCGGGTGACGCGTAAGTAGATAAAACAAAACAAGACAATACTTTTATTTGGAGTCTGGTAGCTAGTACATAAACGTTGAAATTATTTTAAAATTACAACATACAGTTATATCATTATCAATAATAATATTTTATTATAATATTTTATTTTTATATATATTTTTAACCCGCCACCCGCCACCCGCCACCCGCCACCCGTCACCCGCTACCCCTCACCCGCCACCCGCTACCCGTCACCCGCCACCCGCCACCCGCCACCCGCCACCCGCGGAAAAGTCCAGCCGTAAGATTGTTGCCGACGGGGACGCCATTTTGCTTCCAGAATATTTTGGCCATTTTGGTTTATTCCACAGCATGTTAAACATTTCATATCGTGGATTAGGAAGCGTTTTTTTCTTACATCTTGGGTATTGGGGCGTCAAAACATGACGTAAGTTTTAAGCTTATATGGCAGCTTAATTCGTCATCTAGCTGATGTCGTAGTAAAAAAAATTTTCTTTTCCTCTAACTCTGTTGCTTGATTTGTTCAGCTTGTTATCTTATGTTTTGTGTGTAAAAATACGCGTTAAAATGAGTTTTAAGCATGCAAGAGATGCCTTGGTTCTATGTCATGACAACGGAGTGATAGGCGACGAGGAATTTTGCTTGCTATACGATGCAAATCGATCGAAAAATCCCGAATTTCCGTACGAAGAGTATGGAAAATTTGATCTTGAAGATATGGGGGACGATGAATGTAAAGCGGAATTTCGCTTCCATACAGAAGACATCCCGGTGCTGGCAGAAGTCCTTGGTTTACCCGAAACTTTCACCTGCAGCCAGGGATCCGTGACTAATGGCATTGAAGGGCTATGCATTATGCTGAAAAGATTTAGCTACCCCTGCAGGTACTCGGGTTTAATTCCCCGTTTTGGTCACGCTGTTCCTGTGATGAGCATGATCTGTAACACAGTAGTTGACTTCGTTTACAACCTCCATGGCCATAGAATAACTGAGTACAATCACAACCTTCTTGATTCGGCTAGCCTTCAAGTCTATGCAGATGCAGTTTTTGCAAAAGGTGCCGCCCTGGATAATTGTTTTGGTTTTGTGGATGGCACGGTCAGGCCCATTTGTCGCCCTGGGGAAATGCAAAGAGCTGTATACAATGGACACAAACGTGTACATGGACTAAAATTTCAGTCAGTTGCTCTACCAAATGGACTCATCGCAAATCTTTTTGGACCTGTAGGTTAGTGCATTATTCATTTCGGCTAATACCAAGGCAATGGGAAGGTATAAACATGAGGCATATGATTTCTTTAAATCCCTTGGCCACTTGTAGTGTTGGCTTTTTTCTTCAGACTGAACTCAAATGATTCTATTCATGTGACCTCTGTCACGAATTGTCAGAGTTCACATGCATTGCAGTACGTTATGACATAGACACATTTGTTTTGTAACTTACCGTACCTGTGAACAGATGTATATAGGGAGACAACATAAAAATTATATGTTAATTTATTAGTAGGTATTTGTACATAAATGAGTTGAGCCTCAAATAAGCACACATATCTATCAAGGTCAAAAGGGTTTTGGTTTTACATAGTATTACTGTAACTGGTTTGAAGGAAGTATTAAATTTCAAGATTGTAAGCTCAACATCAACAATATTCCAAAACTCCACTATATCTCTTTTACAGAAGGGAGAAAACATGATGCATCAATGCTGGATGAGTCTGGTCTGTTGAATGAGCTCGAGAGGCATGCATTTTCACCAACTGGCCAGGCAATGTGTATTTATGGTGATCCAGCATATCCCCACCGTGTTCATCTGCAAAGACCATTTCAGTATGGAGGACTGACACATCAGATGCAAAGTTTCAATGAGTCCATGAGTAAAGTTCGTTCCATAGTCGAGTGGATTTTTGGGGACATGAGTAACTATTTTAAATTTTTAGATTTTAAGAAAGACTTGAAGCTGGATTTAAGCCCCATTGGGAAAATGTACATTGTCTGTGCCTTACTTAGGAATGCACTTACTTGCCTTTATGGTAACACAACCTCTGAGTTTTTCCAGTTAGACCCTCCATCTCTGGAAGATTACTTTGCTTAAGTGTCATTCATACTTGAGGGCATAGCTGAATGTTTTTGGTTTGTAGGCTTGTTTTAACAGAAAATCTCCACAAGGAATTATAGATTATACACATAAGAAATATTACAGGAAACCAAGGGTTCTTGACAAAACTTTTAATGACAGCTGTCGCCCTTAAGTCTGCATCAATTTCTTTCTTAGTATGATGAGCAGTGCTTCACAGATTTCCAAAATGCCTTTTGTGTCTAGGATTTTGACACCAAAAAAATAATATCCATACTCTGTCCATGGAAGGGGGTACAATGTCACCCCCACCCCTCTGGAATTTCCAAATGTAAGCAGTGATTCGTATGGAAAACAAGGTCTTTTTCCCCCACCCCCAATATTATGCTATATGCTAAAACTGAAGAACAAACCTATGAAAATGAAGTAATCATTTATTTACTACAATCCAAGATAAAAAAGTATATACAGTGTAATATGCTATGCTGTTGTTTTTGTTAGAACAAGTGTAACACTTTTTTCAACATGTTTTCAAGTTTAGCAATTCTAAATGCTCTTTTTGAAATACAATATTTGAGAAAATGGTTGACACTGAAAACATTTAAAACACACTGTAAGTATCAATAGAACAACAAGAGGGCAAGGTTCAATATCATTGTCATGCACTTGCACACTCATATGAAATCTGCTCAAGCAGTTCTTGTTCACTTCTCCAAAAATTTAGAAAACATGGTTATCATCATGGTCTGGAATCCATCAGTTTGCTTCTGTTGCTGTGCCAGCTGCTGGCTCATCAACTTCATCATAGCTTCATTCTTCTTGACTTCTTGCTGCAACTCCTGCTTTTTCAGCTCCAGCTCCTCTTTTTTAAATTCATCCAACATTTCATTTCTCTCCTTTAGATACTCCAGGGTGTTGTTTCCACTTGATCTTCTTTTCTTCCCCTTTCCTTCAATCTCACTTCTTTTCATTCTGTCTCCCAGCCTCTCCATTGCCCTCTTTCTCACTTCCTCAGCATCTTTCTTATCTTCCTTTACCTTCCTCTTTTGTGCTGCTGTCTCCTGTTGGTCTCGATCAGCCTCATCTTCTCTCACAATGAGGTCTTCCAGGGCTTGCTCTACCTCTGTCAATTCTGGGGTGCTAATCCCACTTGCTCTTTCCTCCCCTCTAATTTTCCTCCTGTATGCTTTGGCAAGTAGACCATACCTTTCTCTAACACCTCTCTGGTCAACCTTAAATTTGGGGGCTTCTGCTTGCAAAAGGCGCTCAGAGATTTCGTTCCACTTCCGACCTCTTTGAACTGTCCCACGTTTTGTGCCAGCAAAGGGGCTGTTCGCTAGCATTTCTCTGACTAAAATGACATCATGTTCCTCTGTCCAGAACATCCTGTCATAAGAAATGTGGCATAGTAAATAAACTATCAATGACAGTAGTTAAAGAAACAACACACAATCTACAAAAACTCTATCATATTAATAGAGGAAAACAAAGAAACGCCTTACGATGAAAGGTAAACCCCACTGGTAGTAAGAAACAAATATAATGCTAAGAAATAAATATAATGTGTGAACTGTGTAGGAAGTTAAAAAACACATGCATGATGTGTAATTTTAGCATATTCAAGTGTGAGGAACAGTAAGGGAAGAGACAAAGAGCTATTGAGCTACGAAAAAAAAATGCCGAAGAGGCTGGTTGTATACAAGAAAATATTTAATACAAAAATATTGGCACTAGTAAGTGCAGTTGTTCAATAGAAAACCGACAAGAAAAATTTCGGTCCCGAAATGTTTTCCGGAGTTTTGATAAACGCACGCCACTGGAGAGGAAAAAACGAAAGGTTTGACTAATGCCGGGTTGAGACAGCTATTCAGCAATTCAAGTCAAAACTCCACAGAAACAAAACAGAAGTAGTCTTATTTCTATAAAGGGAGGAAAAACACTCTTGGGAAGTTTGTCGCTTGGAGTTGTTTTTCTCTTTCACGCGGAATACACGAAAAATATAAACTTCGTACGACAGTCGCAAGTAGAAACTCAATAAAAAAGAATGACTCTGAAAGTGGTATTTATATAAGCATTAAACAATGGGTGGATATTAAATGGAATGGCCCACTACTCCGCGGTAGAGTGGTTACGCTACAAATTATGGTTTCTACGCCCCTGGATCGGTTCTCAATCTTAATTGCCACATCGAATTTTTCTTCTTTTCAAAATTTGCCACTGAAATTCTTCCTTAAAAATGGAACAGTGGTTGAAGAGACTTACACTTTCATGGAAATTTGTTGATCAGAAATTTCAAGAGACTTAGAAATTTCATATAAATTTCAAGTAGAGACTTGATCCTGTATGTCATAGCAGATACACGTCGGTGTAAGGGTCCTGTATGAATAGGGGCACTGTGTCAATGTAATGAAGACACTGCATGTTGTTAATAACAGTGATCTTCTCATATTTTAAATGCAACTCTGATTTTAAAAGATAAATGGCAGACAGCCCTACTAAAAATAATTTTCTATATTTATTTTTTTTTAACAGGATCATTTTTTTATTAAGCACACAAAACATTCCTCTTTATAGTTAGCAATAAAATTTCTTACACTCGGACTTTCAGCGTTGGTGAACATTTTGCATACTTTTGCATTATCTGTGTAATTTAAACGTACTATCTATTTTGCTTTTAGAAAGCTTTCAAATGTTTCCTATTTTTCTATCCAATAAAAAGTGCAGACTTGAACATGTGGCTAACAAGTTGATGAGTTGCTTGATTACTGAATTTCTATGGGCACGCTATGGCAT